TTGGATGTTAAACCCTTTTTATGGTATATTACATCTGTTATAAATGGTAATTCTTAACACATTTGCATTACATTTGAACACCAGAATTTCTTCATACAAAATCAGGACATTATCATTATATTTGAATGTTTTTTCATAACTACCCAATACAAGGACTGAAACAAGTTGATTATTAAACCTTGACCTTATATATAAGGACTAAAACAAAAAGAAACCAACTAATAGTTAGGTAAAACTTCAGTCTGCAATTTTATTCTTCAACCTTCAATCTAAATTCCATACAATTACTTGTCTGATCAGACTCATCCACCCATCCAATGAACTTGCATCTTGGTCCCTGAAGCATTTCAATCTTATCACGATTAGGGCAAAATTGGAGAAAATGAAGAAATTTATTGAATTTACCTTTACTGTACAAGAACAGTAAAGTTTCCCAGGGTTTCTCTTGCTCTAAGAAATGCGAATTATAGCTTCTGCTCCACAATTTCATCGTATCACCATTATTCGTTGGTGAGGGGAGAGGATGATCTCGTTAGCAAGGGATGAGAGTTTGAAGGAAGAAGACGATAAAAGAGGGATGAGAGTTTATGCATCCAAGAGATTTAATAAGGATATATGAACTAAAATGATGAAAATACCCCTGCGTGCAAGTCACATTGGGCACTTAAACGGAGCCAACTAACGGTTAACGTCGATAGGGATTAAGCGTGCAAGAAAAAACTATATCAAGGACGGTCTGAGTTAATTTTTGAAAATAGAGACCAAACGTGCGTTTTGGCATATGGACGATTGGTGTAATTTACCCAATTAGAAAATGTAAAATTAGATTATTTGATTTGTGCTCTTGGAGCACGACATTTAATCTTAAACTATCTAGTCATCAATGTTTTTTATTGTCTTATTATGTTATAAACCCACTTATTCCTAAATTCCGGCTCCGCCTCTCAGCGAATTGAGATTTGAGATATATTAATATTAGTTTAAGTTTGGAAATATGAGGTCTTTTAGAATCAAGAGCCTAAGCTCTAACCCCTAGTCACTATTAATCAAAACAATTAATTTTTCATCTCTAACACATTTATCTTTGAGAAAATTTATGAAATAACCAAAACCTAAGGGGTGTTTTAAGCATTTAATCATAAAATTTGGAATTTTGAAAAATGACTACGAGATTCGCAGAGGGGGCTCTGCGGATCGGGTTTAACCATTTGAGGATCTTAGCACAGTACCGTGGAAATGAGGTGGCACCACAAAATGACAAAAAAATTATGGGCTTTTATGGTTCCGCAGAGGTGCCTCTGCGGATCCTGTGAACACCTCTGCGGATCACATAATTTCTCTGAGGAATGGGTAATGGTGTCACCTCATAATCTCTCTGAGAAATGGCTAGCGTTCCGCAGAAGCATAAAATGATCCACAGAGGCACCTCTACGGATCCATAAAAGCCCCGAAATTTTTTGTCCTTTAGTGGTGCCACCTCATTTCCTTGGTATTGTGCTAAGATCCTCAAAGGGTTAAACCGATTCGTAGAGCCCCCTTTGCGGATCTCGTGGTCATTTTCCAAAAGTCCAAATTTTATGGTTAAATACTTAAAACACCCCTTAGATTTTGGTTATTTAATGAATTTTCTCTTTATCTTTTCATGTCATTATTGATAGATAAAAAAAAGACAAAACTTCAAAAATAGTCCCTGTGGTTTCCGAAAATCTGAAGTTTGGTCCCTAATTTACAAAAACCTCACGGATCGTCCCTGTGGTTTCAAAACTTTTAACATTTGGTCCTTCCGCCTAACTTCGTCAGCTATCTACCGTTAAGTGAGGGGTATTTTCGTCATTTCAACACCCAGGGACCATTTATGAGGTTTTCTATTTTTTTTTTGAAAAAAAAAAGAAAAAAAAATAAATTTAAAGGGGTCCCACCCATCTCTCTCTCTCTCTCATAAAAAGAGATCCCAATGCTTCGTCGTCATATTAGAGCAAAATTCACCAAATCAACTACCATTTCTTCATCTCAAAGCCTCCAACAGCAAAATAATATTTCAGTTTGATAGAGGGAGAAAGTATGGATTCGGATAGAAAAAGGGTGTCAACGAGTTCATCAAAAAATGGGGTGGTGATGGGTTCTGTTTGGGATAGCAGAATGAAAGGTAGCTTCAAAGTCTTTAATGGTGATGACAAGAATCAAGAAATTGAAAAACCCACAAAGAAAAACAACCCAACTAAGACTACTGGTGAGATTGTTAAAATGGAGAAGGCTAGATCTGAAAACAAAAAGTATTGGGTGAATTGAGTGTTTCGGTGGATGGAAGTGGAATCAAGAAAAGCCCAGTTCAAATGAAGAAGGGAAGACAGGAATGGAGTAAGGAACAGAGTGCTTCAGAGAAGCCCATTTGTTCCTTCGATCTCGGCTGACTTACGAACAAGGGAAACAATCGACTAAAAAAACAAAAGTGGTGGTGACCGATTTACTCATAGTGGCAGCAAAATGGTGGTGGTCGGGCTTTCAACAACGATGACGGCAATGGAGTGGGTCGGCGATGGAAGGAGGGTGACGGTGGTGGTAGTGGCGGCTCCGACTACCTCGTCTCTCTTCTATCCGGCAGCACATGGTGGTTCTCAGTGGTTACAACAACAGCAACACCACCCTTGGGGGTGGTGGTGTTTCTCGGTAGTAAGGAAAATGGGAAGGGCAATAGAAAAACGTGAATGGAAGGCAGTAAGTGGTTGTATTTGAGGGTGGGTTTGAGTGATCAAACGGGATGGAAGATGGGTGGCTGGTTTGTGGTTTCCGGTGGGGAAAGAGGTGATGACAGTGGTGGTTTTATGGCGGAAGGTGGTGCTACCGTGTGGAATCGTAAGTGTGTGTGTGAGTGAGAGAGAGAGAGAGAGAGAGAGAGAGATGGGTGGGACCCCTTTAAAATTAATTTTTTTTCTTTTTTTTTCCAAAAAAAAAAAATAGAAAACCTCATAAATGGTCCCTGGGTGTTGAAATGACGAAAATACCCCTCACTTAACGGTAGAAAGCTGACGGAGTTTGGCGGAAGGACCAAATGTTAAAAGTTTTGAAACCACAGGGACGATCCGTGAGGTTTTTGTAAATTAGGGACCAAACTTCAGATTGTCGGAAACCACAGGGACTATTTTTGAAGTTTTGAAGGTTTGTCTGTGGTATAAGGACAAAGAGAAATTAAATATTTTCCTACCTTTTGTTCCTACATATCATCATATCCAATTAAATGATGACATTTGTACCATTTAATGTTAATTTAATAAAATTTAATGATATTTTAGGATACTAGTATGACACATGTCATCATTTAATTGGGTAGGATGATATGTAGGAACAAAAGGTAGGAGGATATTTAATTTCTCAAAAAAAAAAAAGGATATTACAAATTTAACAATATTTTATATGTTTTATTGGTTAAAAATACGATGGTTCATCATAATTAAATCTGGAAATAATTTAAGAATATGTATAATAATATAAGGGTTAAACGCATCATTGGTGATTTCTTTTTGGAGAATAGATTCATATATCTTAATATTTTATATTGACCACGTGGTAGTTGCTTAGGTCATCCACATCAGTGCAATGCCGTTAATCTTTCAATTGTGTCACATCAGCTTTGCAATGACTACTCACATCAGTGCAATAACACTCATCTTTCAAAAGTGGTCCCCACTGCCACATCTACAACTATTTAATTAATCAAAAAATTCTTAATATATTATATATTAATTTATAATTTAAGAAATAAAATATATAATATAATAAAAGTTTTTTTATTACATAAACATAATTATATATATATATATATATATATATATATATATATATATATATATAGGTAATCAAAAAGAAATAATAAATTATTAATAAAATATTATGACAATACATTTGCAAGCCTTTCAAATATTGAAAGAGCTTCACCTATGTGGCATACAATATGAACAAGGTGGCATTGGAAATAACTTTGAAAGACCTTGGTGTGGATGCTCTTAGTCGGAAATGCAATACCTTCCATTTGCATTAAAAAACTAAAACTATTAACAAACTACTTTAATTTTTAGCATTAAAATAAAATAAGACAAACTAAAATTATTGAAAAACTACTTTTTTTTAGATTGATAATGAAAACTAATTTTAGTACATTTAGAGTTTTTAACCAATTCATTGAGTTTAATGTACATTTTTATGGTAGGATATATCGGTTCAAGCCTTCAAGGACCTTAAGTCTACAAGTAAAAAGGTTTAGTTAAGCTAGAAGAGTACATGTTTAGGAACCCAATATGTATAATGAATAACGGTCAATCTGAAACTTTATATATAATTGACTTGTGAAATTCAATATTTCTCCGAATAAAATCATTCATATTCAATTCATAATACGGTTTACTTGAGCTAGAAGAGTACAATGTTGTCTATAACAAATACAAAATGATATTATATTATAGGAAAAACTGCAGGCAATACTAGAATCGTAAGATATCCATCAACCATTATCAAACTTAATAAAAAAGAATTAGCCACGTTGTTTGTTATGTTTTAATTATTAGTGGTGTGTTTTAGACTTTTTAGTTAAATATGCACGTCAGCACGTTACCTTGGTATTAACGAAGGCCGAAACTTCACACGAGTTATATTTTGTTTTTGAACTTCTATGGATAAACGAGGAAAAAAATAAATAAAGAAAAGATGAGTGCCCAAATGGGAGAAGAAGTGACGGCTTCATTGTTTTTTTCTTCCAAAATTTCTTTTAGTTTTTGGAAAAACGTGAGAGAAATATTTTTATGAAGGAATGAGTGATTTTTTCATTTAAAAAAATAATTTGTCCATATAAAATATATCTTTCAGTTATTTGTACACAGAGGATGTTATATCTATATGGATAAATTAATTTCTTATAATGCAGTCCAAGTATTTGGAGCCTTACATATTTTGGTTTCTGTTAACAAAACCAAGGAAATACACATAATGACATAATGATCATGATCATGGTCGAGAATAGAATTGAGAACCAAACTTTATTTATTAATTAAACTCAGACGCAGAATTGTGAATAGCGTCTAAAAACAGGCTAACAAACAAACCTCAGTCGAAAAAAGTAGAGAGCCTAGGTTGCCTTAATGAGTACCTATCATCATCTTATCTTATCTTTCAAGTCACCATTCTCCTTGGTCAAAACATCAATTTGGGACTGAAGAATGTCGATCATCGCATGCGCACGCATCACTTCAATCTTCACAGTCTCTCTTTCCATTGACACATTAAGGATTTCATGTTCCAAGTTCTTGATAAACTTTAAGTAGCCAGGTGGCACTGATTTCTCAAGGGTGGCAGCATCAAATGAGTATGGTTGACTCGCAGACGGTTGACTCACCTTGGCTTCAAGAGACTCAAGCAGAGGGAACTCCATCAGTGCAGTTGCAGTTGCAGATGATGACAGTTGTGCAATTCTTGGATCTTGACTTGTGGTCGAGTCTTCTGAACCATTTCCATTGCTTCCATTATTGTTTTCAATTTCATCACTCTCTTTTGTTCTTTTGTTGTGGAATAGAGAGAAGGTTTCTAGCTCGGGCCCACGGTTTAGAACCGAATCATCAGACCTTTCCCGTTTGCAGACAAACGGGATGCTCTGATGATGATCCACCATACCCTCACTCCCACATGCTATCATGTTGACAGCAGCTACCTGTGAGATGTAAATAAGGTACTCACAATATGTCCGGTGTTGTGGAATGTATAATTACAAATGAGGACACAAGAGGTAATACCTGCACAATGTCATTTCCTTGAGGCAGAGTCTCATCGCCACGGGTCAAATCATCTTCTGTCTCTCCACCAGGAACAAACAGGGCTGCATCATCATCATCCCATTCTTCTTCAATAAAGGGTGCATAACGATCACCATTGGGTGGCCCTAAACCACTCTTCTGAAAAATTCTACAAAGCACAAATGCATCCTTCTCCCACCAAACAACAACACAATCAAGGTCTTTAAGAAATAGAAAAAAGAAAAAAATCATTTGTGATTTAAACTTCAAACCTGAACTACTCCAGCTCGAACAAGTTCTTGATCCACGAGTCTATATTCATGCATCACCCAATTGGTACGTTTGCCATCTGGAGCTCGGCCGCTATGGAAGACCAATGTTTTCTTCATCCCAATTGTTTCAGATTTATGGCGGACAGATCTGTCTTTTCCTGTTGCTTTCCAGTACCCTTTGCCGGTAGCACGATTCAAACGGGAACCATTGCCGTACTTCCTATCTACAGGGCTGAAGAAGTACCATTCAAGGTCTCTCGTCTTTAGGGATGAGTAATCTAACAATCGATAAAATTGGAAGAAACGTTCAGTAAGAAACCCTAACGCAATTAGGGAGAAGAATGTAATTACATGGTTGTCCCTAATTGCGATTTCGTCTTTAAATGTAGGTTTCAATTATTTCACTTTCCTCACATATTAATCAACCATATCATCATCGGCTATGAATTGAGAAGAAATTCAATGATATAAGTGAATCGAAAAAAAAAATGTCACAGAACAAACAGAAAAATGATGAATCGGAAATGAAAACACCAAAAGGGGATTTTTTTTTTTTTAAAAAAAAAAAATACAATTCTAATCTATATACCAGCAAGTTCCCATGGCTCGGATTTGTAGACGTCGATTTCTGATACAGCTTCGAATCGAAACGGCTTCCCACAAGCCTTTCGCCTCAAATAATACCGCACAAGTTCCTCATCGGTTGGGTGAAACCGAAATCCAGGTGCAAGAGACGTCGGCGGTGGCGATGATGGAGCTGCCGCCGCTAAAGCTGGTGTCGCCGCAGGCTGTGCCGGTGGTGCCACAGTCATCAATTCATGACTCATTTCTCCTTTTTTTTTTCTTTCGATATGGACTGAAATTTAACTTGTGGGTATCAGTCTTTTCTGATTAAAAAGCAGAAAGATTGATAAAAGGGTTGAGAACAAGACATTAGAATTAGGAGTGTAGGTGAAGCAAGTGAACTACAGGAACAGTACACATGATGAGAGAGAAAGAAGAGATATGTATTGCCCGTGGGTTAAGAAACCACTATTGATGAATGGATGCTTGCTTGACACGGAAATCGAAAAAACACAAAGAAAGAGAGAGAGACAGACGTATGGATTTTTGCATCTGTTTACATTGGGGTTTTTATGGTCTGATGGTTAATTTCATTTTCCAGAACTAAATTCTTAAATTCAGTTCTCTATTGCTATCAAGACTTGTACAATGTGTATTGATAAATGTAAAATGGTTTCATTTTATAAATTCAACTTCGGAAAAATACGTTAAGGATTCATTTGATTTGTATTATATTATTGTAGATATTTTATCATTTTATGCTTGATAGGAAAAAGACAATTATGTTTTATTAAAAAAAAATTGGTTGTTGAAAAAGTTTTTTTTTTCTTGTTTTTAAGTAAATATTAAATGTTCAACTACTAGTTGATTTTTGGTTTTTTTTTTCAAAAAATCAGTGTTTTAAAATCGGTTTTTTAGTTGAACGAGTCTCGTAACCAATTTCTGTTTTGACCGTCTGTTCAACCAAAAATTTGCATACGTCTGACGGTGGTGTGTGTCGGTCTTTGAGTTGTATACACTCTGAAATTGTTCAATTTGCTTTGGAAATGTGTTGTTTTTGTAATGAGCTAAGGGAAATTCAACTATACAAGTTCAAATAATTTGGTTTAAACGTTTTTTTTATCGATTCTATCACAACGATTTAACCCAGTTTTTGAAGAAACCGTCCAGTTCAATCCGACTTATAAATTGACATAAAATCGGTCGTTGTTGAACTGTTGTCGTCCCCGGTTTTCGATCCAACCAGTTTGAACGGGTTTTTAAAACATTGCAAAAAACTCTTATACATTTCCTTATTTTTGGTAGGAATGTTCCTCCGAATTACATGATTAATCTTGGATTGATTGAATATTAGAAAATCTTATATTTTTGACAAAATTATACTATTGGTATTTATAATTTTTCAAAAGAGTTTGATTCAATATAACTATCAAAGTCACTATATGTTTATTCAATGTGGTTTATTCCTTGCATGGTTGGTCTCAGTTGTTTGAAATTTGTTACATAATCGATCTAATTAAAACAAACTAGATCAATATTTATAATTATATAAGGGAAGTGATATTTCACTTAATAATCCGATTCATCCATATTAGGTACAACACATTTACAGCTATCGTACAAGTTAGTAAAACATGCATTTCAAGTAGATGAATCAATTGAATAAGTGAAAATATCACTTTCCCATTATACAATGTTAAGAATGTTATCTTAGTAAATTATAGGACTAGGTATCAAGACAAATATCAACTACTAGACTTCCAACAAATCGAACACCATATTTCTTCTTTTTCTTTGTCGTCCACCACCACCTAGGTCCCAAATCAAAACCAAATTAAAATTCTTAAAACTAAATCAAAAGAAAAATGAATCACCCAACCTAAAATTAAATAAGAATCAAAAAGAGAAATTGGCATTCATCGTGTGCGCATGGGAGGGTGCGAGGCAACGATCGCGACATGGTGGTGTATTAATTGTCAGAAACCATTAGAGGACGGGGGAAGAAGAAGGAGATACGGGTAGGTTTAGTGGTGGTCGAAGGCGAGGCGCAACGTTAAAGGTTGTGACAAAAGGTGAGGCAGCAACGACGACCACAGTAGATTAGTGGTTTTGGAGCCACCAACTGATGATGTTGTGATGCATGTTGATTGGTAGAGAGAGAGAGAGAACATGAGAAATGATGCTGGAGGTTGGAGCATTATAAGGGACTTAATTCAACATTTAATGATATTATTCTCTTATTAAGCTCAATTATAAAAATGGTTCTTTAAGTTTTTAGGTTTTACTAACTTTGACCCAAGGGCAAAAAAACCATTTTATCTTGGACTTAACAGAAGTTTCTAACAATGTTATACAAAAAACCAAAACTGACAGATTTGCTAACTATAAGGATAAGTGGTATCAAATTTCTAAAACTAAGACCAAACCATAGAAAGATGTATGTGACATAAGGACTAAAACTGGCATCTACTTTTTTTCCATCAACAATGATTCAATTTTGAGTAAATTACATGAATGGTCCATGTGGTTTGGGGTAATTTGCTTGTTTGGTCCTTAACTTTGAAGGTCCCCACGATTTATTTTTGTTGTGCGTGAGGTCCCTCACAAATATAAAAAGACTAAATTATCTTTGTTTATTTTTTGTTTATTTCTTATTTTTTATTAAAAATTTGTTTAATAAATAATGTGGGTCCCACTCACATCTTAACTTATACCCTCTTATCATCTTTGTTATTTTAAACCACCATCATACACCAACTATCATCATACAAACCACCACCGTTCACCATTATAACAGAACCACCATCACCTTCAACGACCTTAGCTTCCTTGTTCCATTCATTCACCATCCAACCACCATAACCACCTAATCACCACCATAAACCCACCATCTTACCTGATACCCATATATAACCAGTAGCACAGAGAAGCAAAAGTATTCAACTAGTCTTCAATCCGTATGGAATTTCTTTAGATGTAGGGGTGAGACATGAAAAAGAAAATTTGGTAGTGTTTCTTTGATTTTCACCTAACATCGATTCAGAGAAAGAGGTGGTGGCTAGTGATTTGTGGTGGCTACAAGACGAATGGGGAAAAAGTAAGGATCATATGAGAGCTCGATCGATCGGGGGGGGGGGGGGGTTAGATGTTGATGATTTTTTATCAATTTTGAGGAGGAGGTTGTGATTTCAATTGATTGTAAGAAGGAAGAAAAAAAAGGTAGATCGATCGATAAGAAGGGGTTATACCAAACCACTGTTGCTTGACCTTTAGACCCATCAGACACACGGGCATTCCATACATTTGTTCCCCATGGATATGTTAAAAGTGACATGTGAAGTTTTTGGTGATGAGGAGTACCTTTGAATCTTTTTTTCCCCTGCCTCTTGTTAATCCTCTATCTATGTCTCCAGTGAGTGAGAAGCCCTATGTGACTCGTCGAAAAAAACCCAAATCGAGTGAGGGTAAGGTGGTGGTGTAGATGGAGTTTAAGATGATAGAAGACATAAGTGGGTTATTCGGAGTAGATACCGGCGATGGTGTAAGGATGTGATTTAGTTTTTTTTTTAGTTTCTTCTTTTTGAGTTTCTTCAAACACAGAGATTAAGAGAAACATGAAAGACAACAAAAATGTAAGGATGGGGGCGTGGATATGGAAATGGGTTGGGTTTTACGGGGGCCTATTTTTATTTTTAATAAGTTATAAATAATAAATAAGCAATAAATAAATTAAAAATGAAATAAAGAAGGATATTTTAGTCTTTTTATGTTTGTGAGGGACCTAATGCGCAATAAAAATACATCGTAAGGACTTCCGACTTAAAAAAAAATTATAGACCAAAGGTGTAAATTAGCCAAATCACAGAGACCATTACTATTCAATTTTTTTTTTATTCAGTTAACAAAAAAATGAGTATAAAAAATTAAATTACATTAGTAGACTTTTATTAGTCAAGTAATATATGATTATTTACTTTCTATAATTAGTAGCATTTTTGAGTGCAAGTCAAGCAATCCCATTGCCCATCGTTCAAGAAACCCCTTGATGTTGATACCGAGACCCTTCATCCTAAGTTAACCAATTTTCAATATCTTCTTTCATTTTCTTCAATTCAATATAAAATAAAATTCTTTGTCCTTTTTAAGAGGCCAAATTATCAATATCATGGTATTAAAAAATATATAGTTGGTTCTTTCGAGGAAAACTTAGAAAATCTGATTGATATTTTTTGGTTTATAATAAATTTAGTTGTTGATATTAATAAAAGTCGAATTACACATACGTATTGAAACCTCTTTTCATTTTCATGATTTTATATTAAATGATGTGCGTTAACGTATGAATAAAAAACTAGTGGAATTTATGTAATTGTTATTGAATTTTTTTTATCGGCTTCTACTGTCCTGTACCTTAATTCAAATATAAAATATGTTCTTGTACACATACCTTGAACGAAACTTTAAATAAATTTACTTTAACACTGATTTTTGGCTAGATAATTGGTGCTAAGTGTATAAATTATCTCCATTAATTGTATGTTAGGTCATGATAGTCCAAATACAAGCAATGATACGCCGGTTTAAACTAACATTTGAAAAACTAAAAACAACTATGTAGAATTTCGGTTTTGGTCAAAAATGTTATGTTAAGAGAAAATGATTTAATATGATAATATAGTTTTCAGTTTGTAATCATTTGTTGTTGTTATTATTATTATTATTACTAGTATTATTTTGCAAAACAAGATCTTAAATTTGTTATTATATACATTCAGTCGTTAGGACCGACTACTTCATGTTAAGTTTTTAGTTTGTATACATTTAGTTATTAATATAATTTTTTTTGAAAAACAAGTCATTGTTGTTTTTATATACATTCAACATTTATGATTAGTTTCTTGAGGTTTTGCTCATGTTGCATCGTATGTAGGACAACCATTAATAAAGGTTCTCACATGTGGCTCGTTCTTCATTTATATCGGTAGCCTAGTTCATGAATCGGTAAAAAATGTTGGTGTCGTAGTTTTCTCCAAAGAGAAGATGTATTTGGCTTCGATTTCATCTATATTTATAGCTGACAATAAGATTCTTTGTTATTGTTTCCTTCCAACTTTAATTTGCACTTCCAATACAAAAGAACACTCTCACGAAAAGTTTAGAGTATTTCATAATTCTTTGGTATGTCAGTTTTGATCATTTTTTTTATTTGCAAATGGTTTTTTGTTCTTTTCAAATTGACCTTATTTCTTACCGGCTTATATTTGGTTTTTGTTACTAAAGAAACCAGATAAAAAATCCAAATTTTGGTGATGGGTTAACGAAGAACATGTCAAATTGAACCCGAATTTTAAAAATGAGCTTGCAATTGTTAAATAAGAGGTTTTCCTATCTCAAGAAAAAAGTGAATGAGTTGAAGAAGAGTTCGTGTAGTGGTAGAGTTAAAATAAATTGTAATCTTTTGTATTGATATTAAAAGTACAATGATATAAATGAATGTCCCATGTACGATGCTATGTGAAAAAAACCTAAAAAAAACCCGGTTATAAGGACTAAATGTGTACAAAAACAACAATGACTAATTTTACAAAAAAAACATTAAGGACTAAATGTGTACCAGGTAAGAAGTTAACCTAGAGTAGCCGTGTATAAGAATTGAATGTGTACAAAAACAACAAGTTTATGAACTTATTCTCAAGAAAAAAAACAATAATGACTAAATATGTACAAACTGAAAAAAATATATTATTGTTTTAAATTTGTATAAATTGTTCCGACCGGTTTAAAAACACGGATTATTCAAAGACTTGCTCAATGTCCTATAGGACTGGTCCAAATTTGTGTTTGTTTACATTTACTTGTAGCTTTTACATATGTCATATGGACCATATAGTTATGATTTATGTATCACCCCATTATTGATTAAAAGTTCATTTTATATAATTAAAAAATATAAATACTTTCTTTTTTATTTACGTTGTGTTTGACGCGTCATAATTGGCTGATAAGCTAGTTTATTTTTCAAACTTGTTTAAGTTGTTATGTTTGGCAAAACAAAAAATAGTTTATAAGCTAGTTTTTTTAAAAAGTTACTTTAACTAGCTTTTAATAAGTTTCTTTTAGAAAATTTCCAAATACACCAATTATAGAAAATACATCTTTTAAATGTTCTTTTATGTTATTTTATATCTTTCATCTAGGTTATGAGTTTGTTTTACAAAATATCATTTTTTATCAAATAGATTTTCAGTTATCTGATAATTTTTCAGCTACTACGCAAAACATAACCTTAATATTAACTTTTCTCATATCCCCTCTTGTAAAAGGGGAAAGACCATCTCGTTCTTGGTTTTCTTGCCTCGGTCCTTGAGTACCCGCTTATTTTTGTATAATATTTACGGTGATGAAGTTCTAAAAATAAAGAGTCGATGCAAAATTTCAAAATATCACTATTCGCTTCTTTCGTTACACATATGTATAAAATGGTATAAATGATATTTTAGGATACAAATTTTGTGGTTTATCTCAATTTGTTGTGATCAAAATGTCCATTGTTAGGCTGTGTTTGATATGTGTCTGACCGAGTCAGCTCAGACGTTTTTGACTGACTCGGTCAGCTAAAGCTGTTTGATAAATTAATTTTGGACGGCTGACTCATAAAGCCAAATCTGGCTCGGTAAGAAAATGGAAACTGACTGACTGAGAAAGAGAGAAGTGTTTCCAATTGTGCCCCTGCGATACGTTCCTCTTCCGTCCCCAATTCTTCTCCTCGCCTCCAATTGATTGTCGACGATTTGTGCATCTGCCTCCCACCAATCGACACCTTCTCTCCTTCTCATCAGGTACGCCTTATGCATCTTCTCATCAGGTACACTGATCCAAGATTTGATAATGTTTGGGTTCTTCTCATCTGATTTTAAAGTTCCGATTTTTCTCATCAAAGTTCTGATTCTTCTCATCAAAGATTCGATTTTTCTCATCAAAGCTCTGATTCTTCTCATCAATGTTTCGATTTTGCTGTTATTTTTATGTTTGCTGTTCTCAATTGGATTTTTGATGTTATGTTCCGATTTTTTGTTCTCCTGTTCATGTTTTTTGTCCTCTCCCTGTCGACTTTTCAGGTACTACAATTGTTTTTTTCAAAATCAGTTTTTTTTTTCAAAATCTGATTATCTTCTTTTCAATTTACTTGTTATAAAATCTGATTTGAGTTTTGCTACAAGATTGTTTGTTGTTAGTTTGATCTTATGCTAAAAATCAGATTATGCTTTCATATGTTGGTGTTTGTTTAATCAGATTATGCTTTGGTAATCAGTTAAGAAATCAACAATCAGGATTGTTTTCTTTTATTGATATGTGTTATGAAATCATATGTATATTTGCTGAAAATCGGCTTTATTTGCTGAAATTAGATGTTAACATGTGCTGGAAATCAATTTTCTTTGTTGAAAATGATATACTTGCTGAAACATGAAAAATCTTGTTCAATTTGTTGAAATTGATTGTTATTGTTGCTCCAAATCACATTTTTAACTGAAAATAGATCTATATAGAGTAAAAAGGGTAAAATGGTCTTTTTTTTATTTATGGTTTTTGAATGATTTTTGTTACTTGTGTGTGTTGAAGGTGACTGGAGAGCCATTGATTCAACGGAAAGATGACACAACAGCTGTTCTAAAGTCGAGAACAATTATATGTCATGCTACAAATATAGGATTTTAAATAGATTGAACTCAAATCATTTTATAATGTCATGTTTCTAACTTGCAACTAAATGAAGTTAAAATTCCAAAAAGATAATTGTCTTTGTTAAGGATTGTAAGTGAGACTTTTTTTTTGAAATCCCATGTTCTTGTTCTTGCATGTTCTTGATATGTTCTTGTTCTTGATATTGGTTTAGATGAATTATGCAACTAGTATTTGGTTTGAAATCCCATGTTCTTGATTCTTCAATTTCATCCATGACTTGCTTAAATTGATTGATGAACGTGAATATGGTCAATGAATGGATTGTTTGAATTGTTGAAAAACAATGAATTTATTTATAACTTTATAAAAACAATGATTTCTTTTATAATTTTTATTTGGATTTTTAAATGATTTTTGTGTAATTTATATTTTTTATGATATTTTTTATGTTTTTTATTACTCTTCAGCAACTTCATTCATCATTATATAGAGCAGCAGGGTCAAAATAGTAATTTTTCATCAGTCAGCACATTCAGTCAGATGTATAATCAAACAACATCATTTCTTACTCAGTCATGATTTCTTATCCAGACTGACATTTCTCAGTCAGCACTTTCTCAATCAGCAATTGTCAAACGGGATCTTACTCTGTCTTTTATAACCAACTGATTATGATGATTTATGTGTTCTAGTAGCTTGTTATAACTGCATACTCAAATAATTTCGTTTCTGTAATGCGAGTGCAACAAATCAATTGAATATACCAATTTAAGGTTGTATGCGTAATTTATATAGAGTAGCAATATATATATATATATATATATATATATATATATAGATATATATATATTATATATATATAGAGAGAGAGAGAGAGATAGGTTCAGGTGTTCAAAGTAATTATTGTGTGATTGTATGCATAAATATGGGCCAATCAAAATTAAATAAAAAGTTAAATAATCAAATAATTAAATAAATAAATAAGGGTAATTTAGTAATATTATTAATAACTTCCAAAAATAATCCCTATAATCATGGTATTGACTTTTAACCTAATTTCTTCAGGTTTATATCTAGAGTCGTTCCCCTCTTTATCTAAAAACCAATGTTAGGCGTGTCAGACCCAACAAATAAAGGGGTATGATATACTCCAAAAGAATCCCACTATATTGCACTAAAAGGTAGTACAAGGCAAGCAGGGTCGATCCACAGAGACACGGGATAATTAGTCTATACCTCTTTGCGCAAGGTACTATGGTCACCAACAGATTAAGAGGGGGGTTTTGAATGCAATGATTAAACAAACAAATTTAAAACACGAGTAAACAACTAAACGAATGAATTAAGTTCAGATTTTTGTAAGGACTCCAACTTCATGTATGACAATCCAACAATGTGAATCAAAGATGACAATATATTTGTTTCATTCTATCTAAGTTGGTACTTGAAAGTGTTAACAAGCTCTAACACTTTCCATTCACCACATTAATCAATCAAAACAAGCTCTTTGATTAATCCTAACCTTGATAACCTAATCTAAACAAAGCTCTTAGAATTAGATTAAAAGATTGCATTAAGCTTATTGTGAATGTTCCCAACAACACCCAATACTCCTCACAAGCTCGGGAGCGTAAGAATGTGTGAAAAGATTTACACTAAATTCATTCATAAGAAATCAATTTAATGCTTGTTACTTAGTTCAATTCACAAAACAATTACGGATTTTGCTAAATGAATAACTTGAATGACCTAACCCTAATTCAAATGGCCAATAAGAATCATTATTAGAATCAAACATTCGATTGAAATAAAATCAGTTTCACTAGATAGAAATTAAACACAAACATCAGGTCATATGATTTGATTCACAACCAAAAAGTCAAAACATGAAATTGGAGAAGTTAGGGTTCTAGCCATACATGGCTAGAACAAGATTAACAAGTTTAAAAGATGAAATTAAGTGCTAAAGTGCTTACAAAGAAGGAATTAAAATGTTTCCCAATGATTAACGGACAAACCCTTGCTAAAACCCTTGAATTCTCCTCTCCAAAAGTGCTCTGGTATGTTCTCTGTGTGTAAAACTGACCCAATTCCCGTGATATGAAAAATAGGAAAAACTGCCAAAAGACAGTTTTTGGGTCGAACACGGCTCGTGTCAAAATAGGCTAAACTGACACGGGTCGTGTTCAGCAGTCAACACGGCCCGTGTTGATTTGCACTAAACTGACACGGCCCGTGTTCAGCATGGTCAACAGCTTCTTCTTGGTCAAACACGCCCCGTGCTCACTTTTTCAGTGTAAATCCAACACGACCCGTGTACCCCTCTGACTCCGAATCCAAACTTGATTTTTCCAACTTTTCCGTTCTTCGTCCGATCATCCCGAAATCTTCACCAATGCTTCCCGGCACCTCCCAAAGCACATTCCAAGCTCCGGTTTACCTGAAAAAGACATGAAAGTGTGCAAATAAGGTTGTTCTAGAGACTAACGTGAATATGATGAAATGCAAGAAAAAGGAAGAACACTTATGCTAAATAGATGCATGAAATGGGACTAAAAGGTGTGCAAAAAGGTGCACAAATTGCACCTAACAACCAAATCTTGGCCGATCTGCAAAATTGGAATAGACTACAAAATCGAACTTCAGTTCTACAAAAATCGATTGCCATCGCCATCAACAATTACTCATCGACGTCATTTGCCTGCCATGTCTACTCCGTCGCTCCCTACCGACGTCCACACCTCCGACCGATCCCATCAGGTGAAATAAAGTTTATTCGAGATTTACCGGTTGCCATCGTAACCCAAATCCTAACAATCTAGGATTCATCAAGGTTTGTCGATTTTTGGGAAACCACAGGGTGTATGTGCCCGTGTTAGCATCGGTCAAGTTCTTCTTTCTGTTCGATGCAAGGATGGTAATAGTCAGCATGCCCATGAGGCACTTTGTCGTGCTAAGTTCAAGTTCCCTGGTCGTCAAAAGATCATTGTCAGCAGGAAATGGTATAAATTTAAAACTATTTTTCCCAAATCCCATTTTTTACTTTATACACTATGTTAAATGAAGAATTCTGTTCTAGTTGACGTTTTCCTAATCTTTTTGTTGTGTTGATTTCAGGGGATTCACCAAGTTTAGCCGAACTGATTATGTGCAATGGAAATTTGAGAACAGAATCATGTCTGATGGTGTTAACGCTAAGGTATGTGTTTCTTGGATGCGTTTAATGAATCATATCATACATTTTTAATTGTAATTGAGTTTTGGTATAGCAGTTACTAATGGGTAATCTTGTAATTTACATTGCAGCTTCTTGGATGTCATGGACCCCTTGCAAATCGCCAGCGTGGGAGAGCTTTTCTAGATGTTGTTGCTTAAGTTGGATTATTTATTTGGTATCAAGATTTTTAGAGAATTTAAACTCAGTTTTGTATGTTCACTTGAACAAGGTTTATTTCATCTTTTTCTATGTAGTGGATATTGCAATGAAAGAACAATTCGTGATTTGAATTTAATGTTTGTCTATGGTTCCTTGGGCTTTCCCATCAGGTGAAATTGAAGTTTATTCGAGCTTTACCGGTTGCCATCGTAACAAAAATCTTAACAATCTAGGGTTCATCAAGGTTTGTCGATTTTTGCTGGGCTTGATACATACGAACACAGGCTTTTGAGGTAATATTTTTCTTCTTAATAATAAAATAGGTAATTAATCCTATCTGTTAGATTTAGTGTTGATTTATTCCCTGTATCTTGCAATTTAAACTTTTTTTTTTATCGGCATTTTTTTTATTTCATTAGATCTATAAGCTTTTATTGTAATCTATATGCCAATTCTAAACTGTTTATGGAGTTTTTGGCTTGTGGCTATTGGAGGATATCGTCTATTTTGAGATTTAAAGTTCAAAATTCAACCATATTTTTAAAACTGAGATATATTATTGAATCGCATGTTATATCTGTTTGACTTTCATAGTAAGTTTTATTTTTATTTGTATTAACTTGATTGTTTTTTATATAAAACAATGATGACAAAAACTTGTTTCCTGGAGCATATATGTTGTGTGGAATTTGATGAGTTTTTTATTTTAATATTCATTATATGATGGTTTTCAATTTCATGGATGGTTGGTCATCTTTAAGAGGCGTCCAAGTTGTCACAAATTTTACTCATCCTTTCTGTGTATGATTCATATATTTGTCCATCAACTTATGAAACTACTTTCTAGTAATCCCTTAGTGGTTTGTGTATTTTATACAATTCCAATTCTATCGGAATGGAATCACGAATTCAAATTCTATCGGAATGAAAGCACGAATTCTAATTCTGTTGGAATGGAATAAGGATATTTTTTCATTGATTATACATGTTCTACAATCTTTGGTTATTGGTTTTGGTGCAGTTAACAAGTCCGCATATTTTTCCAAAGGAATATAGTTTTTTATTTATCATTTGCTAATACGTTATTGGATTCTAAACTACAATTGGATTTGTTTTCACAGAAGTTGATGCTTGAAGAACGGACAACAAAATTAAAAGTGTTTCTTAGCAACATTATTCTTTTAGAATGAATTAGTATATTTGTTAGATTTTGATGTTTTTTTTTTCGATTTGACAGTTTTTTAGTTTTATTCCTTAACAATAAATGTAATTCTTAGCAATTATTACATGTATTCTATAAGAATTAATGTAATTTTTGTTTTAATTATTCAATAGATGGTTCGAGAATTTTGTTATTCTACAAGAAAATTTTAAAGTCATGATAAAGAAATATGTTCAAAAATATTTTTATTATTTTATGGTTCAAGAATATTTTTATTTTTGAACATACTCAAACATATTCTGTCAGAATGTCCGAATTAAAAACATTATAATTCGTAAAATCGGATTTTTAAAATTAATAGAATCTATGATCCCTTAAAATATGCAAATTTCCTTTATTAAATCTATATTAATTGACTAAAATATCTTTCTAGTTAAATTAGATGGTATTTTTCAATTATATTTAATTCAATAATATGTATTAATCATTTTCTTAAAATAAGTAAAATGATTGGCCCACAATCATTCATACATTCACACAATAATTAGTTAGAATATAATAACATAAGCCTATATATATATATATATATATATATATATATATAGAGAGAGAGAGAGAGAGAGGAATGATCATTTGAGAACTCAAAGTTTCCCGAGAACCCGATAACTAAAAGTGGAACGTCGGATCAATTTTTTAGACGGATTAGATTGATGATGGTATAATTGTAATTATCGCTAATCTTAATGGTATGTTAGACTTTTTGAAAAAAATCACAAGGGCATAATGGACATAAAACATACCATTTCAATTTATTAACTAATTATAATTAATTTTAATTTAACCTCTCTCTCTCTCTTCTCTTACGTCTTCTTTCTCTCTTTCTCTCTCTTATCTCATCTTCTTCACGCCTCCCCTCTCCAGTCGTCGCCTCCGTCCGACGAATGTCTCTAATGTCAATTTCCACCACTTTCAACACCACACTGAGGATCGAATTGGACACAATCACTATGGATCGATTGTTAACCTCAATCAGTATCGATTTACGCCACAATCACCACCAATTTCCCCTACAATCGTTGTCTACAAACACCACTTCATAGATTGTCAAAACATTGGGGATTGAAATCGCATGCACGATCTGGAAGTTTGTCTTCGTTCACAACGAACCAGGTACGTTACAATCAAATCGATTTCCGACACTTTTGATCGAAATTTTTAGTCTCTGATAACTTCTCAAATCGATTTTCTATTGTTTTCAATCGGTTTCCTGTTGATTTTTACATATCATGTCGATTGTTGATTTGTGATTTACAATTTTGTTGCTTTCAAACAGTTTCTGTTGACTTTTTCATATCATGTCGATTGTTGATTTGTGATTTAAAAATACGTTTCTATGAATGATTGTATGAATTGTAAATTTTTTGTTGTAGATTAAAGAGTGGGATCATTTATGCTTTTTTAGTAATTTTTAGGAATTTAGATTAATTTTTAAAGAAAGCCGAAGGTGAATGAACGTCCGATCACATTTCTGAACATGTATTACAATGATTGGCTTATGATTCATGGTGTTCCTGATCGATGTTCTTTCTCTTCTTGAACCAGTGGGCGATGAGGACAATGACGTTTATCATGGAGATACTTTTGATCATCTACGTAATCACGGTGATAAGTTGACAATGAAAGCGATAGTGATGTATCAAATTCATGATGTTGCTGATATACTCCAGCCGATGCTTAAATCTGATGTAAGTGACTTTTTTATTGGTGTTTATTCAAACAGGTAATAAATAAAATAAAAAATGGCTCGACTATTTATATGGTAATCTTGTTTCTAATCTTTTGATTTTAACTTTGGTGGATAATTAAATTGCTTTCATTTTTAGGTTGATAACTACTTAGGTACAGTGATGATTTTCAAGTTTTTATAAAGCCTCAGGCAGATATAAAAAACTATTGTTCAGACCATGATAATCAATTGGCTGTTGCTTTGCTTGCTGATTTGCAAATCAAGATGTTTAAATCTAATGAGACGATTGTCGATATTTTAGTCCATAAATTATCCAGCATAACTGAGGTATAGAAGATTAGTTGTTGTTGGATTTGCATTATTATTAGCAAGTAGTTATTATTATTTCAGGAAGTTCTATCAACCCTAGTGAGAGAACATATCCAGAAGAAATGATCCAGACTGGTATCTCCACAATTGATGTGATGAATTCAATTGCTAGAGGACAAAAGATTCCTTTATTTTCTGCCGTTGGTCTTCCTCACAATGAGATTGCTGCTCAAATCTGTCGTCAAGCTGGTTTAATCAAGTGATTGGAAAAAACTGAAAACTTGCTTGAGGTATTATTTCAAGAAATAGCAATGTACTTCAACTTTTTTTAATCAATGTGGACAATCTACTTGCCTTTTTTACCCATAGTAGCAATCTACACACATTTCTTTACGCGTAATAGCAAAATGTAAGTATGTTGCTATTATATGTGAAAAGAAAATACATTGTTATTTCTCTTGATTCTTTTTTTTACTCCAAATTGAATTTTGTGTGATTTTAGCAGTATTAAATACACAAAAGATTGAGAATTTTTGATTTTACAGTCGGGTGGAGAAGAGGACAACTTTTCCATTATTTTTGCAGCCATGGGAGTGAACATGGAGACTACACAATTTTTTAAACATGATTTTGAGGAAAATGGCTCCATGGAAAGAGTGACACTTTTTATAAAGTTATACCTTCAACATAGAAGAAAAGAAATAGAAGGTTTCCTCACATGTGCAAGTGGATACTTAGCGAAAATACAAATGCAAGATGGATCATGGTTTGTTTTTTTTCATTAAAATCAACTTTTTTTGTAGTTTTTAACAGATGAGAGAATTTGACAGAGTGCGGGTCCCGAAAAAAAAAAGATATAGTTTTTCTGTAATTAAATTAGAATGTACTGTATATGGATTATAGTGTTTGAAGTATGTGATTCACATGTGAATCACATGCGATTCACATGTAAATCATATATAAATCACATATGAATTACATGTGATTCAAATGTAAATCACATGTAATTCACATATGAATCACATTCACATGTAAATCACGTATGAATTACATATGAATTACATGTAATTCACATGTAAATTACATATGATTCACATGTAAATCACAAGTGAATCACATGTAAATCACAAGGCAATCACATATGAATCACAAGTGAATCATATATGAATTACATGTGATTTACATGTAAATCACATGTAATTTACATGTGCATGCGATTCACATATAAATCACATATGAATTACATGTGATTCACATGTAAATCACATATAATTCACATATGAATCACAGTCACATGTAAATCACAAGCAAATCACATGTAAATCACATGTAATTCACATGTAAATCACATGTAATTTACATATGAATCACATGTGATTCACATGTAAATAACAAGTGGATCATATATGAATTACATGTGACTCACATGTAATTCACGTATGAATCTTACAAGAAACAATAACATGTGAATATCATATTATATAATCACATGTGAATTTTACATGATATATACATTTTTTTTTTGTGAATGTTCTTGCATTAAACATTTTTTTTAAAATTTTCTTGTAGATTTGGAAGATTTTGTAGAAAATATTGAAGAGGTGAAAAGTGACAAATTGAAGAAAAAATATGAAAATCTTGACATGAAGACATGAAAACGCTTTGAAAATATGTAGCATTTTTTGTTTTTTTATATTTTATTTTGTATCTTTAAAATACTTGGACTATTGTGTTTATAGATTAATAAATAAAAATAGTTATTATTTTTTTTTTATGATTTACTTATAAATATTATAGTATAAGAAATATGCATATATGCACTTGAAAAAATATGCATATATGCAGTTGAACGTTGATTTTTTTGTTAAAAAAATTATAGTTTTTTTGTTAGATATTCCATATATATATTTTTTCTTATAGTTTACTGATTTTTAAAAATTTATTATTTTAAAAAATTGCAGTTTTTTTTATTTTTAAAAAGGAAAATTTCATTTTTTTTAAACTTCATGTTTTCTAAAAAAAATTTAAAAATCTGCATATTTTTAAAAATTCGAAAATTATTATTTTTTTTAAGAAAATTCAAAATTTTGATTTATTATGATAATTTTTAGACATTTTTATTAATATTTCCAAAAACACAGAAAACCAAACATTAAATAAGATTGGTAAGATGACGATCAAGCCCTTAATGAGTTAATTTTGATCTAACGCTCCATCTTTAGTTCTCGGGTTCTCGGAAACTATGACTTATCAACGGATCTCACCCCTATGTGTGTGTGTGTATATATATATATATATATATATATATAATATATATATATATATATATATGCTTAGATTCTATGGAAAACAAAAAAACCTAAAAAAAACATTAAATATCATAAAAATGCATAAAAAAATACTTAGAGATCACAATACTTTTTTTTGAGTTTTTTTATAAAAAATCGCAGCTTTTTCTTAAAATTCGATGAAAAAAAATAAAAAAATCAATCTTTTTTTTGATAATTTGTTTTTTTTTTCAAAAAATTTTCAGCGAATTTGTATAGAAAGCTGCGATTTTTTCAAAAAAAAAAATTCAAAATAAAGTTTTGTGATTTCTAAGTATTTTTTTATGCATTTTTATGATTTTTAGGGTTTTTTTGTTTTCCAAATAACCCATATATATATATATATATATATATATATATATATATATATATATATATATATATATATATATTATATATATATATATATATGAATAAAACTATTTGTTTTCTAAAATGATATTTATGTCATAGTTAATATGGTATTTATGTCATAGTAAATATGGTATTTATGGTATCAGAGCCACGAAAAGTTTTTGGGGTGGTTATACATGATATATTTATTTCAAATTTATTTAATTTGCGTTTAATATTCTCTAAGAAATTTATAAGTTTTAATAAGTATGATTCAGAGACAAGACCAGTGATTTGTTGGATTAGCGTAAAACGCGCAGATAAGGACGTAAGTCGCGGTGTCGGACCACAATCATCGTCGGGATGATTCGCCTCTGTTCATCGTTATTCGCCTCTGTTCATCCAAGAATTATTAATAAAGCAGATGCTTAATAAAACTAATAACATAACTCCTGCTAATAATGAAAATTTTAATTTAAAAAATATATATGAAAGATTTACTGAAGCAAAGCCAATTTCTATGCAAGAACTTCAAGAAGAATTAAAAATAGTAAAACAAGAAATGGTTTTATGTTTTATTTCTTTTATTTCTTGTTTTACTATTTTTAATTCTTCTTGAAGTTCTTGCATAGAAATTGGCTTTGCTTCAGTAAATCTTTCATATATATTTTTTAAATTAAAATTTTCATTATTAGCAAGAGTTATGCTATTAGTTTTATTAAGCATCTGCTTTATTAATAATTCTTGGATATTTTTATCTTTTATAGAATCAAGAGAGTTTAAAAGATCTTTATCATCTTGTGAAAGAACGTTAATAGAACTACTAGTAATTACATTGATTAAATTATTACAATGACATTTACCAATACATTCGCAAATATCAGAATCTTCTGAACTTGAAGTAGTATTTTCGAGAATATTTAAATCATTTGTTTGAAAATCAGAAATACTTTCATCGGAATCTGAATCAGTATTTAAAATAATTTTTCTTATTTGTTCTTTTAAATCATCAGAAACATTTAACTAATTTATTTTTGTCTTAGCATAACAATTATTAGCTGTATGACCATTACGCCCACATTTATGACAAATAATAATATCTTTTGATTTTCTTTTAGATTTTTTATAATTTGGTTTATAAGGTTTTTTAGATTTTGAAGCATAATCTTGGCCTTTTTTATAATTTTCTGGAAGATTATATTTCCTTTTCCTGAAATATTTTGAAGATCTTTTCTTATATACTTTAGATTTTGAAGTAGACGGACCATTCAAGGGCTGATAACCATATTGTTGGCAAAAAATTTCCCAATTCATTTTTACTGTTAATTCTATCTTTTTTGAGCTTTTCCTTAAACCTAAGATCAGCACAAACTGCTAATCCCTCTTTATTAATGTAGTTTATTAAATCTCCATAAGTTAAATTTTGATAAGGGATGGTATTATTAAAATTTTCTCTTAATTTTTGTCGAACTCTTTCTGCAAAGAGTTTTAGAAGGCCAGCAATAAAACGTTCTTTCCAATAAGACTCTTTACAATCAGGTCTCGAAAAAACTTTAACAAGATAATTATCTTTATACCATCTAAAATCAGTAAGTTTTCTGCAATGTAAATTCATTAAAATTTCTGAAGTTTTTTCTTGAAAAGTAGTAGGATCTCCTACAAAGTTTTTGATAATAGCAAAAATTAAAGTGTTAACCATATCATCTTCAAACGTTTGTATTTGTTGATTATTTTCTTGTTTTATAATAGCTTTCTTAGCAGATAAAATATAATCTTTTTCTTCTTGTAAAATATAGAAATCTCACCATCCTTTAAGACTGCCAGTAAAACCAGATGTAATAATATTAACAATTTGAAGTTGAGTATTATTATGAGCTTTATAAGCATTAGCAGCCATAGTCATTTCTTGTACAATATTCATAATTTGATGTTCAGAATGGCCATCAATATTCCATTCATAAACAAAATTATCATCATATTGAGAACGATCAAATTGAAAAGTTCGTTCTTCAAGTTGAACATCTGGAAGAGAGGGTCTATTCCAATAATTTCTTATGGTTGGTTTTGGATTCTTTCCGAAAGTGCTTCGCTTTGATTGATGAATTTTATTAAGATTTGAAAAGTCATTAGTGAGTTGACTAATATCATCATTTGAATTAATAAATTGTTGAGCAAGAGTTTCAAAATTTGTTTCACTATTAATATCACTATTTTCAGATTCATCATTTGTAAGAGTATTAATATTGTTAGTGTTTGAGATATGAAGTTTTGAAAGTCTTTTTTCTAATTCGTTAATTAAATCCGTATTTCCTAGATTAAAATTACCATCGATTTGACAAGGAACAAAACTTATATTACTAGTGCTTGCCATATCTTGCTTATTAACATTCTTATCTTTGAAAAAAATTTCTTCAATTTTAACTAAATGTTCGGTAATACTAGATAAGGTTTCGTTTGCATAATTATTTTGGTAAATAATTTTTTGAAGACCCTTTTCAGTAGTTAATTGATTTGGGGCTTGAACTAAAGGAGTCGCAATAAACATATTGTTAATAATAATTTCTCCTTTTGGTGGAAAATTAGCAATAATTTCTTTATTAGAA